CACATTTTCTGCTTCAAAGTATTCTGCTTAATTTAAAGATTCAATTTCGACAGTACATTTGTATATGGTGAAAACAAATCACTTATATTAGGTCCTTCAAGTTAATCCAAATCAAAGATGATATTGGCGCCGTTTTCTCGATATTTGTACTTCAGCGAGTATGGATTGAATAATCGCGTCGTTAAAAAAGTTTGTTAAAAATGCCGGCGTTTGGTTTTCATACATTCCTTTGTTTTACAGTTATACTTTCGCTCCACAGTTATTTTAATGCTTCCGCTCAATAATTTAAATCAATTTGCTCTAAAGTGTTAATGGTTTTGTCTTATGATTTTAATAATTTAGCTCTAAAAATGAACGGTTTTGATCTTAAATGTCAATGGTTTTATTCTGAAATTTCATTTACATATCATTTTAGACGAATCAACCCCATACAGATACATATCTGTTTGTTAAATTCTTGAAACCTGTCATTAATCCTGGTAAATATATTGTATCTTTTAAACATCATGATATTGGAGAGTAATCTATGTAGTGTTCCAATAGGATACTAAAGGTGTTTCTGCGATATTTGACATATTATTAAATTTGTTTGTAATTTTACCATTGGCAGGTCAGGTGACATCAGGTTATAGAATAAGGGATGGACAATGGACAGAGATTGGTCGAAAATCGCCACAAAAACCACAGGTATTATATATTAACCTTATATACATTAACCAAAAGACCTGATACAGAAACATGTTAAAGACAAGGAACACGACACGACACCACACACGACATTAAACACGACACAGCATTACCAATGTATGTGTGGTTTTTTACGAATGCACATGCTTTTGCTACCAATGGGGTTTACTGTTTCACTTATCATTATTAATGCATATAAGTTGTATGACTTCCGTTTTTCAGATGTATTCCGTTACTAGATACGGTTTACGTAACTAAATACGGTTTACGTCGATAATGTAGTAACTGACGTAAAAAGGAAAGACTGGTCCCAAAAACTTTGACTGTTAGGTCTTCTCAGTGATATACATTTCGTAAAACTTATTTTATGATATTTTAAAAGAATGATATGATTGATATGTAATTTCAGATGTTTTATAATGCAACAACGCCGGGACTTGTGGTACAGAAAGGTGATATACTGGTAAGTGAATATACTTATTGTTTTTTTTGTAACTACCAACTGTAAGCTCGTTATGCGCATGCTCCTGACACCAAAGCTAACGCCAAAACATGCCAGGTTGTTGAGTATGGAAGACTTGAAGTATACAGAGTTCGGGGAGATGTACATTTTTTACCAGTACGTTTTGGTAACGATAAAATGGCCGTCGACGTTTGCCTCCCTTTGCTATTATAAAGTCAAAAGCAAGTGTAAAGTACTTAAGCTGTAACATTACAATGTTTTTACAAATTCTAACTATTTATTTTATTTTTACAAACAACCTGTATTCGGGAGACGTAGGTGACGTGTTGATATAGAATGTGTTTAATAGATTTGCCGAGCTTTTAATTTGGAACAGTCCATGCAAAACGATTTCAATATCAAATTGCAAAAAATGAGGTACCAACAGTTCAGAGCCTGGTCAGACGGTGGAGTCTGGTATTGCGCTATACTGGTGACAAAGGATAATCAAAGAGTCGAATACGATAAAAAATAACATGTCTCTCAGTGTAATATAGTACATATCAGCAACCCGAGAACAGACAAAACACCGAGGCAGAGCCAAGGGTGTTATTTCAGTTCATGGATTGCTCACATGCATTTTTGCCATATGAGACATATGTTATTTTTTTATTATACTGAACGAACATTTTAAAATAGTTTTAATATTATAGTCAAATGTTTATGTGATCAGAGAGGGGAGATAACTAGAACTAGAACATTTCGTTTTTAAATATACATTACTCTCCCTTGGGGAATATTGCAAGGCTTTCACCATCTGACGTCGCTTCAGGCTTTTATAGTAAAAATGTTTGAGGTATAACAATACGAATTGTCGCCCTCTGGCGTCACATAAGGCTCTAATATGGTAAATAAATCACGAGAGGTATGATAAATGTAACTGATTTTTCTTGAAGGCTGCGAGATGTACAATGAAGAATGATTTGAACAGGGTGAGTAAGTTTATTAAATAATCGCCCTATTAATTCGTGTTTGAAGTTTAATTTAGGCACACAAACTTGTAATTCTATCAATATTAACGATAATATCCAAAAAACCTCCACCTATACAATATGAGGGAGTATGTTTTTGGATATAATCGTTAATATTGATAGAAATTCAAGTTTCTGTGATTTAGGCCTATATATTAACTGTTTATATGTTATTGTTGCTTAAAGTACGGAAAACGTGGCAAACAATTACAAAATGCTTTAAATGTTAATCAGAAGATTGGGATTAAATGATTGAATGCAACTGTGATATAAGCTCTATATAAGTGATAAATTAAAGAAATTTTATCATTTAAAACATTATCTTTGAATGTGTTTATCATATTTGCATTTTTTTTTATTAAATGTTGTTACACATGTAGGTAAAGTTTAAAACATTTTTATATTATTTCTATATTTTGTATTTTATCTAAACACTAAGTGATTTGTTTTTACCGCTCGCCGCGCTAAGTCTCTGAAATGAAATTGTTCATTCAACACTTTTAGGGAACATGTCAGATATTTAGTGACAGAAAAGCGAATAGTGCAGACCATGGTCAGATGGCTCGGATACGCCAGTGATCTTGGTCTGCACTGATCGCATGGGTAAACAGCAGGCTAACGGTATATAAGTGACTTTGATAAGATTAACTTTTGCATGCTGTTTTTCCCCCCATGTGTTCTGTGGCACAAGATGAGGCAAACCAAGAAATCAAACGATTATGTTTCTTCTATGCGTTTTAAGTATTTTAGTCATTTTGTACATGGTTCACTATTCGCTTGTTTGTTTAGTTGATTTTTGTGCCCCCACATTAGTGGCGGGCATTTAGATTTACCCTTGTCCGTCCGTCCGTCCATCCGTCCTTCCGTCCGTCCGTTCTCTTTTGTGTCGCACGTAACTCAAAAAGTATTTGACCTAGAGTCATGAAACTTTACAGGAATGTTGATCAGCATGTGAAGTTGTGCACCTTGGTATTTTTCGTCTGGATATTCTTAGTATTGTTAGAGTTATTGCCCTTGACTTAGTAAAATTTTGCAATTTTCAACTTGTGTCGCATGTAACTCAAAAAGTATTTGACCCAGAGTCATCAAACTTTACAGGAATGTTGATCAGTATGTGTAGGTGTGCACCTGGGTATTTTCGTCTGATATTTTAGTACTTTTAGAGTTATTGCCCTTGACTTAGAAAATGTTTGCAATTTTCAACTTGTGTCGCATGTAACTCAAAAAGGATTTGACATAGAGTCATTAAACCTTATGGGAAGGTTGCTCAACATATTTAGTTTTGCTCCTGGGGTTTCGCTGTATTTGTAGAGTTATTTCCCTTGACTTAGTAAAAACTGTTTCATTATGTTGTTATTTGTTCCTTGAGTGCTTGAGTGCTTGAGTTAGAATCGACCAACTTTACAGGAATAATGATCAACATCACTGAATTACAGGAAAAATGATTCACATTACTGTGAAGCTATGAACCTTGGACTTTGCATGTCGATTTTTTTCAGTTTTGTTAGAGTTATTGCCCTTGACTTACAGTAGTATAAATTTGCAATTTTCAACTTGGGGTTTGCTTGGGGATTTATTCAGTATTTGTAAAGTTCTTGCCCTTTACTTAGTAAAAAGATTTTTAGTTTTCAAAAAATATCTGACCTGGAGTCATAAGATTGACAGAACAGTGGCGCGGTGGGGGCACCCGTGTCCTATGGACACATTTCTAGTTTTATAATTGTTTGTTACAATGACTGTTTGCCACTGTGATTGTTTGTTTTGATGTTTGTTTGTTACAATGATTGTTTGTTCCAGCAATTGCTACAATGATTGTCTATTTTATAACAGGAGTACGCAGAACGATGAGATGTGTAATTTCTACATGATGTACTATACCGAGGAGGGGGACAAGACTATGCCCAGCACATACTGTTTCAGCTCCGGACCACCCACCTACTACTGGGCCTCCGACCCTAGAATGTCACAAAGCATTAACAACATTCCAAAAACAGCTAGTGTCATACCAAATACTGACAAAGTAATCAAAGTAGGTTGATGTTACAAGATTTGTTGGAGCGAATGAAATATTTTCTGAGTTTTAAATAATCCCAGAACTACAATTTGAATGGTGATATTGCAGATTTACAGGGGGAAGAATCCCTAAGGTGACATTTGGCTTATATTAAGGAACAAGGTTGTACCCGGATGGAACTAACTACCCTACCTTCTGTATAGCTATATGCTTAATGAATAGATTCTTCACAAATCAAAGGTGCCTGGAGGGATTCAAACCAGACACGATCAGAGGCCATTTATTCGAAATATGCGACCGTAACTATTCAGTCACGAAAAAAAATGCAATATAAATATTTATTCCAGTTTATTCTTTCTTTTTTCTTCAGAATGATAATGACCTGTACATGCTGTCACAATTTATACTCATTTTATTACAATCATCAAAAAGGAATACATTGACGGTCTTAACTAAATGATATTTTATCTTCTTCAGCAAACGGCTGTTCCACAGTTATATGAAGATGAAGGTACTGACCAATATGAAAGTGAATATGAAGTCAAAGGTGCCGACATGAACATTGACCCTGAAGATCTTGAACCTTATGAACTAGAACGACTGATTGAGTACCTCAAAGAACGTGGACCCAGGGCCTACGATGAAGAATATTACTGACATTGATATAAATATTAAATACCTGTCTCGATCTACAAATTGAATTTTTATCTATTTTTATGCATTTCAGTCAAATGAATAATTAATCAGGAAACAATGGCTTATGGAAAATGAATGGCTAAAGATTTCGACATGTTTGTTTTGATGAGATTATAACAAGATATAAAATGTTATGTTTATAAAAAATACGAAAATAAAAGTAAAAATTTAAGGAAGTATTACCAACATATTAAAAGATCGCCATTAGAATAATTCCATTGATGTTTTATCGTATTCACAGTATTTATAACATTGATAACAGAAAGGGTAATTACTTTGAAATATATAACACATGTAGTATATTTCTGAAAACAAAAGAATATTAATTTAATGAGACATTTTCATTTGACTTTAAGTATCTAAGAAAATTTTGAAGAGAAAAGATATTGTTCTTATAGAAGAACATGTATAATTCAGAAGAAAAAAAACACCCCTCCAAAAAAAGACAACAACAAAAAACAAAACACATTTTGACTCGTGATGGTGCCATTGTTATTTGCAATCATCTACACTTAACAGTTTATCTTTCTTTAATGCAGTTTATCTTTCTTCAATGCACTTTTACATACTTCAATGCAGTTAATCATACTTCAATGCAGTTAATCATACTTGAATGCAGTTAATCATACTTCAATACAGTTTATCATACTTCGATGCAGTTAATCATACTTAAATGCTTCAACGCAGTGTATCATACTTCAGTGCATTTTATCGTATTTCAATGCATTTAGGTTATCATACTTCAATGCAATTATTATTCTTCAAAGCAGTTTATCATACTTCAATGCACTTTATCATACTTCAATGAGATTTATTATTCTCCAAAGCAGTCTATCAAACTTCAATGCAGTTTATCAAACTTCAATGCAGTTTATTATATTTCAAGACAGTTTATCATACTTCAATGCAGTTTAAAAAGCACATTATAGTATAGTCTTGATACTTTGTTTATTCAAGAACGCAGACTATCTAAATAAAAAAACCCAGCTTCAGTAAAATCACATAGCATTTGAATCAATGTGATGATAGCATTTACTTAAAATATATTATTTATGAGGGAAAATGGATTCCGAAAACTTTGCATTATCTAGCCTAATATAATATAATAATACATGTCCCAAATCTCACCAAGATACATAAACGATCATTTACAATCATTTTACAAAATAAATACAGGCTTAAAAAATGTGGGAGCTATTAACAGTGTATAAACTTCCTCGGAAAAGAGACTATTTAACTGCAGTACGAAATTAGAATGAAATATAAATCAATTATTTATTTATACATTGTGTTGTTTATGAAAAAAGTGCAATGGTATCAATGTAAAATTTATATGTTTTGTTGTTGAATAAAGTTATAATATTTCGTTATTAAAAGACATTTTACTTGTACTTGACAACTTTATAAATGGAAGACGTGTAAGCATGGACGCCGTCACATCATCCGGCGCCGGTTTTTTCCAGGATTAGAACTTTTGTTGTCTTCAAAGAAAGTGCATAAACCTCTTCGCAGAAAGTACTCTTCACTATAATTGTCATTTAAAGCACATTATGCCTCAGAATCTTTTAACTATAATTACACTGATTCCCATCAGATCTTTAGTTGCAAAACATGGTCTATGTATATTGAAAATGATTCTTACATTGCAATCTGTAACAAGATAACAAAAGTTATAAGTTTTTGAGACGATGTTCGATCACATAACACTTGTACTTGTTAGTCCTTTCAACTGAATCTAAGATGTACAATCATGAGCATTCAGAAATAATAATTTGGTAGTTGAAATTTCCTTGCCATGAATTTGGAGCAGTGCGTTTAAAGTTTAATATGATATATCAATAATATCATTTTTTTAAAGAAGAAAAGGTTGTAACATATAACAATGATAATATACGGTAGATCTAGTTCACTCTCGGAAAAAAGATCTATTTTACCTAATTGATATATTTTTTGCTGCATATTGTATTTTTATCCCACATTTTCAAGATACTAATTTACTTTCTACGCCCAATGAAATGTTTAAAATTTGGAATTTAGATTCAATCGGAAAACGGACCACACATTAGAACATTACTTTCAAATGTGAAGCTATATAGTTATTTTTATTAATATTGTTATTTTTATACTTAAATGTTACATTTCTTCTTTTCAAAAACACGGAAATATGGAAATATAACATCTGTTATTGTATGTACGAGGCGACTTAAATCAAATTTCAAGAATACACTCGCCACGATTACATACATAAAAGAAAAGAGTTCAAACTTATAGAAAGTTAATATTAAAATTTGAAAATATTCTTTATGTGTTGTATTCAAAAAGATGGTAATGACGGAGTGTCACATGGAAAGAATCAAGTGTCAGACGGCTATTTCACTTGTTTCGAACTATAAGCAGGTCTCCGTGTCGTCGTCGGACTATCTCTGAAGTTTTCGACACAGGTTTAGAGTGTTCTTCCTGTGGGGTTTACAGATAAAAAGTCACGAATCCGGGGACGTACTTGGCTTACCGAATCGGCTGATTGTGCTGAACTGACGACTTTATATTAAAGTACGTTAGATCTATCAAGAGCAGAAAAAATTAAAAGAACTGGGATAAAGGAAAACAAATATTTTATTGGAGTGAATATAACATAATATGTATTACATGTATAGGTCTACATCTACATGCAGTAAGTTATATATGTCACACAATAAAAAAGAAAATACAGTTCGCAATGTAACATAACAGAGAAATAAAGATAAAATGTCAAGGTCACATGAAAAATAATAACACTTCAGAATTTATGGACAGATAACCAGGCAGGAACGATAATAAAATAGCTTTACATGACGAATTCAATTAACAAGAGCATGGTAATGCAATTGGAATATGATTTTCAAGGTCAAGCGACAAGTTAGAAATTATTCAGTGTTTTTTATTCCACATAAAACAGAAACATTAATACAAGCTTTTAAGGTCACTTCACTTTGGAAGATAATGCCAAATTTCAAGGTCCGATATCACTTAAATTTGAGACTAAAAATATAAAAGTGTATCTTTCTGGCCCAGCTTAAATTAATGTAACATTGGAACTTAAAAATGCCTCATGAAAAAGTAGAAACAATACAGTTTTAATGCCAAGGAACAAAATAGTAACTTTACAGCTTTAATGCGACTTGCCAAAATATACGAATGCAGCTTTAAATACACGTGACAAAGTTGCAAGAATGCAGTTTCAATGCAGCGTGACAAAATAAATTAATAACAGTATAAATATCACGTGATAATATAACAACAATACATTTTAATGTAACGTGACAAAGTATTAACAATACCATTTAAATGCCAAGTGACAAAATAGTAAAATATATAGTTTTATCGCGACTTGACAAGTAGCAAGAATACTGTTAAAATGCAACATGGCAGATAACAACAATACAAACATTAATGTCACGTGAGAAAGTAGCAACAATAAAATTATAGATGACATGATAAATTAGATATAACAAAAAAACAGTTATTACGATAAAAAAATTAGAAGGTACATTGTAAGAACAATACAACTGTTAATATTACATGACACAATAGTAACTATTCAACTTGCCACGTGTAAACGTATTATCAAATAGAGGTCAGTGTAAGATCGAATATATTTCACCGAGTGAGCACCAAAAGGTATATTTCACAAGTGGCGCAGACACGAGTGAAATATGAACTTTTGGTGTTCACAAGGTGAAATATATTTTGATTTTACACTAAACTAAACAAATTTTCTTTGAAAAAGCGCGCCAAATAATAATACAACATTACGTCATTTACGACGTCACGTCATAAAGTTGGTTCCCAGTACTGTGCACGCTGGTATTTCACTGAAACAACGTAAGGTTTAAAACAGTGAAATTATCAGTTTTATATCACTGATATATTTCTATAAACCACCGAAAAGCATGTAATAAATAAATTACCGCCACTCATGAAATATTTATTTTCATACCACTCGATGAAAATAAATCATGTATTTATAGAAAAAACTTGAATATCCTCTATGTAATTTTTACGCCACATAAAAATATATATGTCACGTGATAAATTAGCAACAATACAGTTTATTTGTTACATGACAAAGAAGCAACAATACAACTTTGTATTGTAGTGGTAGTAGTGTGGGTAGTTTTAACTCTGGATAACGGCAGTAAGCCACATTGAATTTACTAGAGCAAAGTTAAGCCACCACAATTTGTATGCCACATGACATAGTATTAACAATACAAACTTTATGTCACGTGATAAATTAGCAACAATACAGTTTTTATGTTACATGACAAAGTAGCAACAAAACAACTAAAATGCCATATGGCAAAATAGTAACTTTTACAGTTACAAATGTATTCACAGAAAACAGAAAAGGGATCAGAGGAAACATGCTGTTGTTTACCATGTCATTTATATCGATCAGCAATAGAAAATCTATTTTTCAATATTAATGACATGGTAAACAACAGCATGCTTCCTCTGATTTTGTACTGACAAATAGGCTATATAACAAGAAAATATAATGTTAAATTGTCTTTTTTGATTTTAGTGCCTTTACATAAGTGAGTAATTTTAAAAATATCATTGTCTGCACTAAAAGTTACAATAAACCGCTCGACATAACTGTTTGAACTATGATGTCCCGTTAGGACACGTGTCAGACACAACTGGAAACACCGAAAAGACGATATTACGATTATGAAAGTCAAAATAAAGAAACCAGGATAGTGAAAAGTCGTAAATGAAAAGTAGAAAGTACGATAAAGTATAGCCCAATAAATATTCATTTATACAATAAATTCATATGCCTAACTGATCGTTTTTTATTTTTCTTGATGAAAAAACAAAACAAACAAAAAAAAAAAAAAAAAAAAAAAAACCACCCCCCCCCCCCCCAAAAAAAAAACCCAAACAAACAAACGTTGGGACCACATAAAGAACAATTAAACAGTATTTTATCAAAGAATAATCTAAAAGTATTTTTATAACAGTCTGTGCGTTTAGTTCTTAAGGTACAATATGCGTTTTTAAAGAAATAATACACACTTAGTGATAACAATATAAGTGCATTTAGAGTAAAACAACATTGCATTTGTGAAAAATGCTATGCTACCGCATTAATACAACTAGGAACAGTCTTTTTTTTTTGTTTCTATACAATAGAAGATTGCCATAATGCATAGATCACTGACCTATCTAATTCTTATTAAATCTATTGTTATTCAAATAAAAGATCAGAGTAGGAATCTATCAATGCAGTTGAGTTTAGTGAATTTGGTGGTGAAGGTCATATTTCACATGGCCTAGATTCCATGACTGTACATCAAAGGACAACACTGTAAGACACTTTATCAAAATCTAATTTAATTTTTTTTACAATATGTACATAGTGAAAATCAATGACCCCCGGGACGGAGCCACTTTTGACCCCAGGGCTATAATTTGAACAATCTTAGTAGAGATTCACTACACAATGTTTCATACAAAATATCTAATCTCTGGCCTTTGTCAATTTCGAGAAGATGATTTTTTAAGTTTTAACTATATACATAAAAGGAAAACCTATGACCCCCGGGGCAGATCTAATTTTGACGCTAGAAGCCAAATTTGAACAAATTTAGTAGAGTACCCTTAGATAATATCATACACCAAATATCAAAGCTCTAAGCCTTGTACCTTCAGACAAAAAGTTATTTTAAGTTTTTACTATATGAATCAATCACCCCCGGAGTGTGTCCATTTCTGACCCCAGGGCTATAATTTGAACAAACTTGGTAGAGGTCTACCAGACAATGCCTTATGCAAAATATCTATGCTCTAGGCCTTGCGTGTCTTTACTAGAAGATTTTTAAAATTTATTCTTATAATTCCTTTTGGTTGCCATGGAAACTAGATGTCTGCATGGAATGAATTTTTTGAACAACTTTGGAAGCCCTTCACCCAAGAATCAATCCTGCCAAGTTTTGTTGAAATTGGACTAGTGGTTTTTCACAAGAAGATTTTTTAAGTTAACTACATAATTTATATAACACACAAACATACATACATACAAACACACACACACGCACGCACGCACGAATGCACGCACGCACGCAGGTGAATCGCTTTTTGCCACCGCATCGCAGATGCTGCAGTGGCATAAAACGCTCTCGAACAAAACTAACCTGAACTGCAAGGGAAATAAAAACACCATCGAGAACGGGACCGCAGATTGCGGCGCATATTTCTAATAGTGTAACAGTTTTTAAAAATGTCTCTCCTACAACTAAATATATTTTTTGTATCATCCGAGTGTATGACTTCAAAGAATATAATATCAAATAAATGAAATATGTTAGTTTTGAAATTGGTCAAATCTTAC